CTATATAAATAATCGGTTTATAAAATAAACCACAATTGAGCCGTAACTAGTAACGTCAATAAGTCTGCATCTATAGTTAACAGTACCATTTCACCAACAATCACTTCATCGACAGTTTAGTTCACCGACAACTAATTCACCAACAAGTTCATTTCACCGACAAGTTTTTTTTTTTATAAATTACACTAACCTTAACGCTAATTCTAACCCAACCCTAACATTAATGACCAGAAAACTTTGATTATGAAATGAGCTTTCGATGAAATGAACTTGCCGGTGAATTAATTGTCGGTAAAATAATCTCGTCTGTGAATTGATTGTGGGTTAACTGAGGTGTCAGTGAAATGAGCACCACTGGGTACATTGCACAGGGTCTAGATGTCGGGTAAATACGATATACTATCATCTAACCTAACCTTAACGCTAACCCTAACTTAGACTGAATGTTTAATCATGCGATGTGATAACCACGAAGATTCATTGGGTTCCTTGTTCTCCAAACTACCCCTTGTATTATACATTTACTATATATTCAAAAGAAGGTGCTTACTACACATTCAATTACATTCGATTAATATGACTAGCTACCATCAAGTAGTTATATGGTATATAAATTTATTATAATAACTCCAGTGCATTCTTAACAATGATTTAAAATAAGGAAAATAAAGGACTAATTTATATAAATACGCGACTTAGTTAATTGTAATAAGAATTTGATAATTATGAATTTTTTATCACTTCAAGAAATATCTTAACATTGAAACATTATTTAATACTGCATATATAATATAAATAAAAAAAATTGATCAGTCCGGGTATGAAGACCAGAAAACTTACTTTGCTTCGCCTAATATAATTGAGAATTTCATTCTTTTACTTGAATTATCCACCACCACTACCACCACCGCTACCACCACTACCGCCGCCGCCATTGCAACAATTGCCACCACTATAAATGTCACAAGAAGATTTTTCGGAATTTTCTGGAGAGTTCGGAGCAACATATGCTTCTTTATATTCCCTAGACCATAAACTCTCTGTTTCAACAAAGCCATCATTCAATGTCTTCTTCGGAATAGTGTCACTGTGATTAATTATCCTTAAGAGATACTTTCTATTCCATGCGCGATAATTTTGTCCATGTAAGATATGCGTATGCCATCCAAGATCGATGTCTAATGTCGGAACGAGTGGAATATTTGGTTTATCATTCATGAGATGCATGAATTTACAATACCTAATGATTGCATCATTCTGGACGGAAACCTGATTAATCCATTGACTTATTTGGATATTGACTACCATTTTGTTTGTGAAATTACGTTGTCGTAAAACTGCAGATACGAGGTCAAGAGAAAACGGTGCAGGAATACCAGAATACGCAGAGACTACGCGATGTACAAAATTTTGTAAAGCTGACGTAAGCTGATTGGTAGATTTAAGAGACGTGATGTTTGCCTCAATAAGGTTAAGAATATGTGACCAATGGCAGGTGGAATTGGAAATATCCCACTTCTTGGAAAAAACGAGTTCAGTTTTAGTTTTGACGAGTTCCGGGGTATATTCACCAGTTAAGTCGATTAAAGCACCACTATTAAAGAACTTTATCAGAATAAGGTTATAAAAATAATATAGTTATAGAAATACTTACCCAAGAAATTTTGACTTATCTGCAATGTATTTATTAACATCTTCCAAGAACCGATAGGCACTCAAGGTATCTGTACTCCAATCAGCCTGACATTGAAAAGACTTACATTTTTCAACATGTTCTGGAGTGCGCATAATTTTTACCCACTCAGAGCTATGAATGGAAATGTCAATATTTTGAACTTTTTTGTCGGTCACTCAATTAGGAAATTGTGACTTACGTTGAAAATATCTGCTCCTGATGACACCATGGACACTGCACAACAAAGCTCTTTTTATTTTCCAGATCCAAAATCCATGGCTCTCCAGTTTTTTGCTCCCATATTTCTTGCGAAATGGGATCGACGTGCATACCTCCAGTCCTCAACCAGAGATTGTACTTAACAAATAATAGAATACAGTAATGAGATCATTTTTGCATTTATTAAAAAAAATAATTAAATAAAAATTATTATGCTTACAAGTTCCTTCAATGGGAAGTTGCCAATATTTTCATTAACGTCATGAATACGTTTTAAGTCTTCATAATATTTACGTGGGGCGAGAGAGTGTGAGTGCCATATGTAGGCAACATCTATTAAAACATAAAAAAAATTCGTTGAGAACAATCATGAATATACTTATATATTTATGTATAAACTACCAATTGGCGGCAATGGAACAATCTTTTCATCTTTATAATTGCTCATCATCTTTAACCATTTTATGTATCGATCTTGAGCGCATAATAAATACCTAGATGAAATGGCATAAATAATTTTCACATTAAATCTTAGTTATAATTAGAAAGAACAAAAAACAGTTTAAACTCAGAGTTCTTTTATTTACACCATATCTGCCTCATAATTCTTTTGTTCCAGTTCTTTGAATTTTCCTAATAACAATAAATGCGCTTGCAACGTTTGCTGGTTAACAACGCCATCAACGTTCAATGGTTCCTTACTGAGAGCTAATTCGAACGGCAATACTGTGTCATCACAGTTTTGTTTCTTATTAACTGATGGCATTGCATTAATTTTTTGCCTAACAACCGAAAAGTCAATCACAGTCTAGTTTTATAGTAGAAAAACATATATTTGTTCCATCACGTACTGTACATAGTGCAAATAAACTTATCCATGTAGGAGATCTATATAAATGTCTAAATATGGAAAGATCATAAAGAATGAATTGTAAAATGTTGAACAAATTGACTATTTTTCTTTATTTCTTCTGTAAACATCACGAAGTTTATAGTTATAATGGTTTCTGTATACAGAATTATAAACTAAAGTATGTCATGCTAGTAAAATTGGACGCCATGGCCCATTGCTTCAATCATTAATAGTGTTTGTTTTTTTTTGTTTGGACAAGAGCTTTACATCAATTTCGGGACAAACGAAAAAGTAATTGCCGATTGAATGCAGAGCAAAAATGAAATTCTGATTTAAACTCTCTCAGAATCACTAAACTCTATATTTGTGCAATGTATAGGATTTCTTTATATTTATTGATTTGCCAGTATTACTGACTATATAGTTAATAATAATAACGGCAAATCATTCCACATTTTTACACTTAAATTAATAAATATAAAGAAATCCTATACATTGCACAAATATAGAGTTTAGTGATTCTGAGATAGAGTTTAAATCAGAATTTCATTTTTGCTCTGCATTCAATCGGCTATTACTTTTTCGTTTGTCCCGAAATTGATGTAAAGCTCTTGTCCCAACAAAAAAAAACAAAACACTATTAATGATTGAAACAATGAGTTATGGCGTCCAATTTTACTTCGTTTAGCATGACATACTTTAGTTTATAATTCTGTATACAGAAACCATTATACAGTCTAACCTCGATATAATCACTAGCTTGGGAAACGAGAATCTGGTGATTATAAAAAGATGTGACTATATAAAGGCCAAATTTTATATGTCTTATATTAGTTTAATTTATAAAAAATATCAAGGTTGTGACTATATCAAGAGTGACTATAACGAGGTTAGACTGTAACTATAAACTCCGTGATATAGAGTTTAGAACCGGTTTTATTTTTCATATGTTAAAACCGGTTTTAATTGGTTATTAACATATGAAAAATAAAACCGGTTCCAACCTCTAGCGAGTATCTTCTTTGCCAGTACCCACGCTTTTCAGTGTGTATTTAACAAAAAATTCAATTATTTCTTCTGGTT